CTAGGGTGGTAAGCTCAACCCCAGAAAGTATTTCTTTGTGGTTGTTTTTATTATATGCAACTTATATATCATTGGTGCCATCCTTTTGCTTCAAGATCAATGAGAGAGGGGTAGTCAGCAGATTTGGGGTTCTGTTTGTTGAATGGTAACCTGGAAGTGTAAGTGGTGCTGAGGAACAGAGCAACAGATGAGAACCACGCCTTACAAGGCAATAAGCCTAGAAGACTATTGATGCCATGAAGCCAAATGAGTCATTGAGAGTTATTAGACCTAGGAGTAATGGAGGTATTTGAGAAACAAGGGAAAGGCAAGAGGTCATATTTTAAAAATATACCATCAGAATTCTGAAGATTGGTGTTGAACTAACTGCCATGAATTGCTGATAAATACCCACCCTGTCTCTACTTCGTACATATTCTTGCCTTTAGGATCCATCTCCCGGTGTTCATATCTAACCCTACTCTGTCAGCTGTGCTCATGTTCACCATGTTCTACCTGCTTTTCCCGTACTCTCACATTTCAAATCAATTGGAAACTTGGGGAGTCAGTTCTTTAATTTAAGTCATTGCTGAATAAGCCAGCACCAGGGATCGACACTCATGATTTTTTGTTGTTGTTAATCCTCCCCAGGGATATTTGTCCATTGGTTTTTAGGAAGAGTGGAAGAGAGAGAGAAAGATAGAGAGAAACACTGATGTGAGAAACATCAATTGGTTGCCTCCTGCAGGAGCCCTGACCAGGGCCCAGGCCAGGGAGGAGTCTGCAACCAAGGTATGTGCCCTTGACCAGAATTGAATCTAGGACCCTTTGGTCCGCAGGCCAACACTCTATCCACTGAGCCAAAGCAGCTAGGGCAAAATCATGATTATTTAATTCTGTGTGATGTGCCCCAGCTCACCTGGCCATGAATCACCCATAAATATTCTTTTCATGCTGATTTTTCCCTCCTCTGCTACCATCTTTCCAGGAAAGACTGTTGTAGGCCTTCACAGATAATCTATAAATATTCCTCCAGATGTGTATCCCACTCATGTATTTTCTGTTAAATATTGTTTTTGATCTTTAAGTTGCCACATTTTCTAAATTTATTCCTTTTGACTATAGTAACTTATGTATGCCTGCTGACTTACTAATTATAAAATATGTATAAATCAAGATTGAATTTAGATTAGTTGTTTATTAGCCATAATCATGTTTGAGCAGTTGTTTATGTTTGTAAACAGGCACTTTAATTTATTGTTATTTTTTCATAGGCCTAATGAGGTTGGTACCATCACTCACTAAGCCCCACAACTCTGTATTTTTATTGACACTTAAAGCCTTCTGCAAATAGGGTGTCACTGAAGAATTTATTATAAAGGAAAAGATATCCTTTGGGAATAACAGAGGACCTGCTATGTGGACTCCTCCCTGGAATGTTCCTCTCTTTTTCTTTATCTTACTATCAAGCCTCTTTTATGAAAACAAACAAACAAACATCATGGCTTTTGATGTCTGTTTAGCTGCAGTTTTAATCCTAGCTAGGTGACTTTGTGAAAATTATTTATCTTTTTCTCTCTTTGTTCTATTATTTATAAAATGGGTGTAATAATAATAGTAATAATACCAACAACATAAAGTATTATACTAATAAGATGAGATATATGCAAAATGCTCAGAATTGGATCTGGTGTAGATTAAAGTTATAATACCCGGAAACTTCCACTACATTTTACATATATTTGTAATACAAATGCTTTCCACCTGCAAAGTTGCTGTCTTCCCCTTTTCAACCCTCACCTTAATATCTATAGGGCATGAAAATCAATCCAACTATTTTCCCCAAAGTTTGAATTCATTTACTTATAATTAAACTATAAAGCAGAATACCTCCGTGTGCGAATGTGCACTGTGCATGTGTGTGTATGGTGCGTGTGTGAGTGGATGCATTGTGAAGGAAGAGGCACCAGTCATGTTATCTCTCAGTGTGAAGTAAAGACATCCCTTTATTTTCTTCTATCGTCTCCAGTCTTCATTTTTTGTCTCCAACGATAACACTTAGATAGAATACACACACACACACACACACACACACACACACACACACACACACACGTGTGTGAATCCTAAAGGTAAACAATAGTTTTTAGCATAAGTACAGTATGATTGGAATTGACTGAGGGAGGGGGACTAGATTTTTCCCCAAAGGCATAATTATTTAAAAATAGTGTTCCTGCCCAATGAAGATGACTTTAATATTATTTTGCAGGCAATTTTAAATATACTTTTTTTTCTTTCTGATCTTTTTTTTCTATACTCCTTACAGGGCCTTAACTACATTTCAGGAGGAACTGATTATAGCACCCTTCTCTGTCAAACACTAGTAGCATCTGTCCTTTGACAATATAAGCATTTGCTGTCAAGAAAAAAGGTGGCTCATTCAAATGGGGCAACTGGAGAAAATTAACTGGATTATTTACAAAGCAGTGGACAGGATGAATGTAAACTGTAGTACTTGCCCTAGTGACAGCCCCGATCCTGGAAGCTGATAGAGGTAGGAGCTGTTAGTAGAACTCAGAGGAAGTGGCTGAAGGAGGTGCCACTCCACAGGAGCTGGGGCTTTTTATAGGGTGGGGAGCCAACTTGTGGTGATCCAGAGGATGAAATCTTGTGGAATAAATACTCTGATTTTTCTCTCACCTCTTGCCATCTTTTTTCCTTCCATTGTTTGCCCATCCCCGATTGGCCAAACCAACCTAGAAGCCAATGGATGAGTAAACTCCTTCTGTGGTCAGCCTCCTTGTTACAGAGCAGGTTAAAGAAGGGAAACCAAAAAAGGGAGCAGATGGCAAAGATTCCATGCAGGCCCTTAACTGAACAGTTCAAGAGCATGAAATGTACAAATGTGTCAGTCTCCCCTTTTTCCCTTAATCTCATTAAAATGATAGAAATGAATTTTAAAAGCCCTAATTTCTTGCCAACAAAAAAGAATAGGACCATCAGTGGATGAGAGGTATCAATTAATTTATGGAAGACATAGTGGCCAAAGGCTGAAGGGCAGAGAAGCTGGTGACATCACAGGAAGCCATGACCTAACTGAACAGGAGTGTGGGTGGCAGTAGAGAGGAAGCCGTCTACCCAGGAAGGCTTCTTGGACCATAGGTGGCTGGTCTGATGGAAGACAGCAGTGAGCAGTGGGACTGAAAAGAAATAGGTTATATAAAGCCTTTAAATAACCAGTAAACATGTAGAAATAACGATATAATTATAAAAAAAATTGAACGATGGTGCAAAGTAAATTCTCATCAAGTATAGCAGAAAGTCAATAGATGATGTCTAAAGTTAATAAATCAAAAAGTAATGCCATCAGCATGTTATTTATAGATTTGGAGGTAACCACAGAAGAAGTAAATAAGAAACAGTTCATAATGTTTGGGGAGGAGGACAGGGAATGGATCAGTCACTTCTCACTATGTCTTTTTGTAGTAATGAGTTTTTAACAACCATGTGAATAAATAATTTAATAAAGGCTCCTTTCAGTTCCCTTTTGTTTCACTCCACTTAGTTTACTTGGCTTTCTAGGACTTTTCTTCTTAACATGGTTAGGTCCAGTATCTGTCCCAAACCTAAAAATTAACTCCATTTTCCCCTATACTCCCCATCTCTCCATTTTTTATAAACCCCTCTTGTGCACACACACACAAGCCATATACACATCAGCCTTCTGAATGCAGTTACATGTCTTTCTCTGTAAATTTCATGTCCCTTATATCTCATTGCCTTTTTCTCAAACTGTTTCTTTGGCTTGAAATGGCTTCAGCAAATTTTTTTCTTATTCAGCCTTCAAGTCCCAGCATAAATTCTGCCTCTTCTATGAGATGTCTGCTTTCCAGAAACATGAAATATTATGCTTTATTCTGCATTCTCCTAACACTACACTCCAGTCTGACACTTCTTGCTCTTCAGTGACTCAGACCTCGATGTGCATTATTGGCCCCTTCCTTTCCTGTTTAGTTGTAAGTTGAAGAATTGGTGTCTTTATACCTAATGTGATATGTTGCTCATAGTAATTAAAATAGTTGACACCCACTATAACTATAATTGGCTTTTGTTGCTGTTGTTGATTCAGAAAGCATCTAAAGTTATAAAATGAAATGCTACAACACATTTAAGTAAACATCAACTGTATTTTTAGCAGGATGACTTTTAATACTATTCTGCTTCTTAGCAAAACATTGAATTAAATAATATTTTGTTACAATTTCAGTGGCTCTTTTCTAAATCTCAATTACATATATATTGTCTCAGGTTATGAGGAATAAAACTCTAATAAACTAATACCATAAATATGTTACTAATGTAGTTATTTTTATGAGTGTTTCTATTGTACAGAGTAGCCTAGAGCGTGGCCTGTGTGGCTCAGTGGTTGAGAGTCCACCTATGAACCAGGACGTTGCTAGTTCAATTCCTGGTCAGGACAGACACATGCTTGGGTGGAGAGCTCGATCCCCAGTATGGAGTATTCAAGAGGCAGCCAATCAATGATTCTCTCACATCATTGATATTTCTATCTCTCCCTCTCTGAAATTAATATATCTATCTATCTATCTATATATATATATATATCAGCTTAGAGAGAGAAATGCCTTACCCCAGAGAGTGATTTGCTGCTAGGAAAATGCTAGGCCCCTGAGCTGTTGTTTTGAGATGAAAGAGGGTTTCTGTGGCCTCTCAGATTATGCCATGTCACACTTATGCCATAGGCAATATGGATTCAGATGAATTTCAAAACCTTAAGATGTGCCTTAGCATATTTAAACACCTATATTTGATATCACAAAGTGTGTATTGAGTATTAACTGCTGGTCTTTGCTTTTATTTTCATTTCCTGCAGTCTTTCCACGTGTTCTTACTTCACCTCTTTTTTTGTTTGTTTGTTTGTTTCAGTGGCTCTCTAACCCTGGGTTTTTCTCTGCATCCACATAAAAGAGCACTCTCATTTTATTTTTCCTTTACCACAGGAAATTCCACAATAAGACAGTCTCGATACAGGATTATCAACCAGGAAGCAGCCAATGGAGGTCAAGAATGTCCAGACACCTTATTTGAAGAGCGAGAGTGTGAAGATGTTTCATTGTGCCCTATATATCGGTAATTAGTTACCTTTTGGAATAATCATTAAACTTCAACATAAATTATGACATTTTCTTTTATATAATATACTAGAAATTCATGCACAGGTAGGGTCCCTAGGCCTGGCTGGCGATCAGGGCCCATCAGGGCCTTCCTGCTGCCAGCCAAGGCCTTCCTTCGTTCCGCACCACCCCCTGGTGGTCAGCGCATGTCATAGCGAGCGATTTAACTCCTTGTCTCCCAGTTGAACTCCTGAGGAGACAATTTGCATATTAGGCTTTTATATATGTATAGATGGTTGTTTAGTGAGCAATAAGATAAGGTAATGTTGTTTATCTTCAAACACCTCTATTTTCCCCCCTTCCTATCTAGAATACATTTTGAGGGATAATGAATATGAAAGTCTAATTTATAGAAAAAAGAAACAGACATGTTTTGATAGTAAGTGAGCTTCTGGACTTTTGCCACTCAAGAAATCTTTTCAGAATCAGGATTCAAGGAGATTCAGGGTGAGGTCCTTACCTAAACCACAGACGCGCATGCGCAAACACATACACACACACACACACACACACACACACACACACACACATACACACACGCACCCATGCAAAGGTAACTTACTTCATTCCATTATTCTCATCCTAAAGCCTTTTTTATCAAGAATCACAAACCAAATTTGTACTTATTTAATACGTATATAAAACAAAAATTGTTTTGGTTCTCAATTTTAATTATATACATGTTTTAAGAAAAGATCTAGTTAGCAAAATTAATTTAACCTATGGATAAAATGTTAAAAATGAAAAGAAAATGAGTAACTTTTAAACTATAAATGCTCCTTCTGGTAAGTTGGTGGTTATTTATAAAAAACAATACCTGAGACTTGTGTGTCTAGACATAAACTTCCACTCTTTCAACATTGCTTTAAAGGATATCTTCATTAAATTCACTGTTGGGTTTTACCGGCTTGTGAAGAAATCCCATGATCTTAAAAGGCATTTGTTTATCATCACACTTAAAATTGCCTTTACCGAAAATGCCTAGTATCTCCCTGGATTATTTGAGAAGCTACATCTTAAAGCTATGAAATTTAAGAGCTAATTCATTCATACAAATGCAAGTTATTTTTCTTCTTTTAAGACGATGCCTTACATTAAATAAATTTTAGTGTCTTATTGAAGAAATCTAAATTACTATCGATTTTATCATCCCTGTACTCCCATTGTTTCTATATAATGACCAGTTTGGGAAGGATGTAGACAAACACTGGGAACATGCCCAGACTACTAGTTTTTCCTCATCAACCACAGGACCATTGTGGAAGCACTGTCAATATCCACCCTTTTGTGCCATGTATATAAATATTGAAACTTCTGAGCCCAACTAACCATTGCCAGGGGATAGCAGCCAATTTAAAAAATTAGCCAAATCAAATATTATTACACATTTTTATGAACCCAGGGCTATTATAATCAGAGAAAATCCTAGGAACTATTAGTGGGCTCTTCCCTTCTATTGTCCACTCTCCTGACTCTCTTGCTGCACTTCAATTTAGCTACTCATGTTTGAACTAGTTTCCATCATCGACCCCCTGCCATTTCCCCAGAAATCAGTTCCACTGTGTGTGGATTGGATCAATGTATCATTTCTCCTGGTGTGTGCGGTTTAATATATGTCCCAGTTATCAGCATGAGTCTCTGCTCCTTAGTATAAAGCATCCATGAGTTTTCAGTAATTTGGTTCCAATTTAGTTTTTGCTTTCTCCATCATTGGTATGTTAGGGAAGCAAGTGAATGTAGACCTTTATCATTATCTCAGTAACACATTTACCAATTAAAACATAAACAAAATGTCCACAGAAATATTTCTGTGAGTTTGAGCATTCCTTCAATATGTTAGATTAGTACGGGAATGAGAAGGCAGCATGGGCGGGGATCCTTATATGGAATTGGCCAGGGGTCCATGGTTGAGCATCCAGGGATGTAGGATTGAAAACTGGCCTGCCCTGACTTGTGCAGTCTGGGACATATCACTTACTCTGAGCTCAGGTTCATCACCCAACACTGAGGGTTTCACAAGAGAGCCGTGAAAAGTCATTCCTTCTACTTCAGTCTCTGCAGAACACCAAACTAGATTCAATTCCTTGGTCTCATTTTGGTGTAGAAAGCCCATGTAAATTTAAGAGATCTGAATAGATGACATATCCTAGTTGAAAAGTCAGACTGAAAAATGCTTACTGTATCACTTTCTGTGTTTTGGAGTTAGACTTTTCCTGAGCAAAGAAAGTCTTCCTTCGCTAAGACTTTTTTTTATTGTGGTAAAAAACACATAATGTTTGCTATCTTAACCATTTTTAAATGTACATTATAGTAGAGTTAATTTTATGCAATTGTTTTGCAAGAACTCTCTAGAATGTTTTCATCTTGCAAGGCTGGGCAATGATATTTTACTCCCTGTTTTTATTTTACTCTTTGAATTAACATCTCTTGTTGGTGGTATTGGCTGATATGGGAAAAGTATAAAAATATACTAAGCAAAGGAGCAGAAGCTGTGGTTTCACTTAAGGTTTGGGTTTTATGGAACATTCTGAAGAGACAGGCTTACGGACACAAGGCACAGTCGGTCATGTGGGTCATGAAAATAGAAAGTTTTGTTGATCTGAGGAAAGAAAAACAGGGAAAAGCCAGACAGTGTCCTTAGAGACTATTTCCTCACAGGAATAGAAATACTGGTAATTCATCAGAAGTGGATCAATTCCTCTTCCTTGGAATGAACTATCACATAAATAGGTACCGGTGCCTCCTGCACCTCCCTTTTACTCTACAACCTATTGAGTTGTTTGAGTTACTTCAAAGTCCTAGGAAACGCATTTCTAAAATATTGAACGAGAAGATCAAGCGAAAAGGTGTGCACGTGGCACTTTCAGCTGCTCGAAACCTGATTCTCTAATGCTCTAATGGGACATAAGAACTATCTTTCTCTCTTTTTTCTAACAATTGTAAGTTCATAAAGTGGTTAGCACTCTAGACTTGATCTGTGCTTCTAATGCTTTTATGGCCACTTTGCTATATGAACTAAGGTTTATGTGCAAAATGTCCACATTTTTAAAAAATGGAATCAAGGCATTAACCGTGAACCTGAGGCAGAGTGGCTCATTATCTCAAGTGCATGCCAGGGCTCCGTTTTATGGCATTGGGTTCAAATCCATTTTTATTGAATTACTATCTTTATGCTTTTGGATTTCCCACTTATCCATTTCAAGTATTTCCTTTGTGTGTTTGTCATGGTGAAATTTCTAGTTCCCTGTTCTTTGTAATCACAGGTGGAAGGCACAGAAATGGAGCCCCTGTATCTTAGTGCCGGAGTCTGTCAGGCAGGGAATAATGAGCACCAGCGAAGCCTGTGGAAAAGGGGTGCAAACAAGAGGTAAGAGGATTTTCAAACAGGTTTGCTATTGGAATGTGGCTTACAATCATGTTACTCTTGTAAACTGTTGACTATGCTTACATTGGAGTAAATTGCGGTATTATTAGATTGCCTTATTTGTAAGTGTTTGAGTTTAAGTTTGGTGTCAGTTAATGCTGATATCATACTATATTTTAACCATAACCAGCTAGTGTATCTAAGGTCTAATGCAATGTAAGCAAATATCTATTCTAAGTCATCAACATACCCCAATGCTGATTTTCCAAATGCGTGTTGGATATTAGCCAAGGAATGAAGGATATGTCAAGATTAGGCTCAATAATATGCACTGTATTTCTTAGGTGCTAATTAAGTATTTGTTGAATGAATGAAAGGATAACTGAATTAATTGACTAATCTTAATAATCATGACTTA